TTACAACACAACCCAAAGCAAAAGGTTTGGAAGGAAACTTCTACCGATAAGAACGATGATAGTTTAACTTCCTGAATAACTTTTTAAAGAAAATCATTTCCTAAATTTTAAGCTACACTAACGCAAGATGTTTGGCCAATGCATGCCTATTGTTTCCTGGAGGAAAACGTTTGGTTTCATCATAATCTTTGCCATAATTGGGATGGGCTGGTGGTGTCATAGATAGCGGCTCCGAATGAGAAATCGGAGAGTTGAGCTCGAATTGCAGTTCAGTTCATTACATCCACTTACATGTAAGTAAACTCTCTTCTCCCCCAGCTACGGATCAAATAGTAGGACATAAAATAGTGTAGGAGAGAGACAACTCTGAATTCAAAATTGATATAGATATAGAGCAAGTTTCAACCAAAGTGCTTAACCTAAAGTTAACTCCTTGAATAAAAATTTTGTAAGGACAATAACACTGCATTTAATTGCAAATAAAGAGGCAAGCAGATAGATAGACAGACATATATACGAGTCAAGCTATTTTCTCTATGATCCATGAGTTCCTTTTTTCCCCTCAAAGAAAACATCCTTCTACGAAAGTTTGCTACTAGAATGTCCTTTTGTTGATCAACACTTGTCATGGAAATGCCGAAACAAAATATGTCCTGTAAAGAATTGACCATGGAAAGTAATAGCATAATGGTTTAGAAATGCGTTTTAACTAATCTAAAGGGAGCCGAAAAGATACGACAATCCTTCGGTTGAGATGGGTCTTAGTGGCAGAGAGGAGGGGAAGAGTATTTGAGATTAAGATTTACTTTCTAAACACTTTTTCTATTTTGGGCCTCTATCAAAAGAATTTGTGCCTTTTATTCGGTCACCAAAGACAGATCTTCTCAAACACATGTCAAATCTATAGAATATATATATATATATATATATATATATATATATATATATATATATATATATACCCAAGTATAGGATTGATGTATACAGAATAAATTCCAATAACCAAAAAATATTATTCTTAAAAGAGTGCTCGATACAGAGTAGATCAAATATAATTCAGCACCATCAAGTAGCAAATATAATTCAACAATTCAATTCAAATACTATTCGTAAAAGAGTGCTCAATACAGAGTAGAGCAAATATAATTCAGAACCATCAAGTATCAAATAAAATTCAACACCATCAATTCAAGTGGAACAAATACATTCAACCCCATTACCTGATAAGACACCAGAAGTGTTGAAACAAAATGGCTATTTTTGTAGTGATTTTATAACATATTTATGTTATAATTTTCGAATATATATATATATATATATATATATATATATATATATATATATATATATATATATATATATATATATATATATATATATATATATATATATGTTATGGGTCCAGTTCCTTGTACCACGGTGATAGTCCAAGGTAGAACCAATAAAGAAGAACTCGAATACGGATATGGAATAACACAGATATATTACAAACAGGAATATATACAGAGAGGTAGAAAGTGTTAGTACGAACAATCAGGTTTAGTAGTAATTGTCTGAACGCGACTCTGTTTCGGACTGCCTCTGACTCGACTGACTGACTCCAGACTTCAGACGGAACTGAGACTTCAGACGGACTCCAGACTTCAGACTGAACAGTATTTAGTCACCCATTCACGAGGGCATCATGTGGCACAAGGCCGGTTTAACGTGGGATCTCCGAGCCCGTGGGCTCGGCCAAAAATAAACGGGTTCAGGGTCGGTTTACCTCCCCGAAAGAGACTCCGCCCTTCGGCGTAGCCTCGTTCGGGTTCCTCCCCGCCCGAAGGCAGAGAGTTCAACCGATCAGTCGCTCAGCCGGTCGCCCGACTTCGGGCTGAACTCCCTGCTTCCTCTTGAGGCGCAGTATTTATTACGTATGGAATAGTCCATTATGCTATCATGGGTAAGGTCCCCTAACAATATATATATATATATATATATATATTGAGTATTGGGTTCCAGAATAATTTTAACCCTTCTGCCTGAGATTGTTCAGCCGGTGGCTGAGCATCACATCATTTTTCTCTACCACCGGTAAATCGGTGGTCAGAGCTCAAAGGGTTAAAAGTCTCCCCATCGAGCAACATATAATCTAGCTATTGCGGAGGGCTCTTGAGAGAGGCTTGTTCAGGAGTTTGAGAGTCCCTAAGTTTTTACATATTCTCAGCATTGGAAGCTCTCCTGGCTGCTGTTTGATCTGGGTTTTCATTTGCATAGGAATTTCTGTTCTTCACTGCAGCCTTGACTCTTTTGACTGCAGTCTGGTCCTTTGTTGGCGGAGATTTCTCTTTCTGGCGCACACTTCTGCCGTATGCAATGGGAAACAATAAACTACAGAATAACTAAAAATCGATCGCTGCATTTAAGTATTAAATTTAAACTTACCTTTAAAAAGTTCAACGATAATTCAACTGCCGCCACTTAATTTAAAGACATATGCACGTAAATCCTTATTTTCTGTACTAATAATTATTTTTTCGTACTATTAATTATTTTTTAGTGGGTGACTTCCGTTGGATTTCGGAATTAATTTCAATTACTCCCAAATTTATTTCCAAGTTATTGTACAAAAAATTCGTCGCAAAAAAATCACGTAAAAATCATCGAAAACAATCGTAGTAATGAAAATTCGCATTTATCTATACATGCATAATACACACACACACACACACACACACACATATATATATATATATATATATATATATATATATATATATATATATATATATATATTTATAAATGTAAAAGACAATAGGAAGACTGTAATAGTTGCCGACGCGTTTCGTCCGACGTGGACATTTTCAAGGTGAAACGAAATGAATTTATGAAACAAAGTGACTAATACTAACAAAAACAAAATGTCCTTAGCAAGTGGAAGAATTTAGAGAACGCTCTTTTCATACTTTTAACTGAAAGTACGTCAATTACTGTCACGTGTGGAGATATTGTTTTTATTGTTGTGTTGATGGTTTCAATCATTTTGTTTTGATTCCTTGATACTGTTCTGTACGTTTGTTTGGGAGTGTAGTAATTCTGTTAAAAAAGGTGAAATAGGGAAAAAGCCTGGGCGTACATTAATATTTGGGTAATTTTCTTTCTGAATGAGTTATTTTATTTTATTTTATTAGTGTAGCATTTTTAAAATCAAAATTGTGGTTGAATTTATTTCTCTGTATGACTAGTGCATTAGTTAAGCAATCGGCCGTGTATATATATTTATAAATAGTCATCTACATCCAAAAGTCTGTTTCGTTGTATCACAGCTGATCAGTGCGGAAGACGTCCGATTGCTTCAAGCAAACTTGACCGACCCCTAACCTATCGGCGCAAGCATTATATATAAAATGTATACAAATATATATAAATTTATACGTACACAATTGAATGCATTAAATTCAAGCACAAATTAACAGTTTTACTCGAGAACAAGTTGAAAATGAAAAAAATAAAATTAATAGCAGTAGAGAAAAATAAAGGACAATGTACGAATAACTGACCAATCGTATTCTAGGATACCCGTCTACTAGAGCAGCTAACCAATCCCTATTGCAGACGCTTGCTCAGACGTACTTGTGGTTTATACTGCAACTATGCTGAGCAGTTCCTAGTTACAGTTTCTGGGAAAGAGCGTGTTATCCAGCATGATCAACAATTTGAACAAGACCAGCACGCTCAAGCTCTCGGCCACGATGACTTGTGATTTCGTGCTAGCAGAGCTATCGACGGTAAGGGTTCCATCTACCCAATTTCACTCACAAGGCTTGGGTCAACTCGTTGTGTGGTTTTCAGATACTTTCCAAATGTGCTGCACGCTAGGATAGACCCGATAACATCAGGAAATCTTCTTTCTGACACATCGACCATGGTGAGATTCGAACCAGCATCTCATGGGCAGAATGTAAACGTTCTAACCACCGGCCACGTGCCCATGAAAGGAAGAAAATTACCAACACTAAAAAGGCACAAAGCTTGAATCGAAATTTTAGAAAAAGTTTTGCATGAAGAAAACACGCTTAAAACGACTTACGTTAGAAGAGAAACATTTTGATATCAAATTTATGGCAAAGGCTTTGACCACCTTAAAAGATGATCTGAAATAATGTTAAAGAAAAATAGACCTCTTTAAGACAGAAGTTACGTTTATTGTAAGAAGGAGACACGAAAATTCAAGAAGGAAAAATGGTGACCTGACACTAACAACCTATTAAGCAAAGGGACTTCTATTCTGTCAGCAATGACCTCATTATTGAGAGACTCACCTTTTAGCACTAGCTTTTGATCCGACCATTTTTCGCACGCACATCGTACCTTCTGATCGACGCGGGCGCGTACCGGCATTTGCCTGTCGGCTGTCGATCATATGAAGTGCTTGACCTTTTCAAATAAGTACTAATAATTTGCCTCTCGTTGACCAAAGACGTTGAACTCAGCGTCAGTTTTTAAAGGTTCGACGGGCAGCCGACTTCACGCAGGCCGAGACTAAGCAAAGTTAGACGAAAAAAAAATGTTTGATGTGGAACTAGTAAGAAAAAGGAAACGTACGGTATTCAAATCGAATTCCCTTGAGAGGAAAACGGCCAAAAGGTCAGCGGGAAAAAGAAACCTTTGCGCCAACTTGCATGGATCGTCAAGTTTTTACCCATGAATTATTTGCGATAGTTTGGTATATATATATATATATATATATTTATATATATATATATATATATATATATATATATATATATATATATATATATATATATATATATATATATATATATATATGGGCTTGGTTTGCTGGTACTGGTGGAAATGAGAAAGTATGCAAGAGTTCAAATTCTAGCTCTATGTTTGGGTATTTCTGCCAGGATTTTGACAGATAAGTACTTCCTATTTGAAATGATAAGTTTAGAAAATGTTAGAAAATTTCTGTCTCATTTTCCATTTTTTTCATGGCGATCTTCCTTCTATTTTTCATGTTTTTTCTTTTTTGTATCTCCTCCATTGTTTTTCGTCTTTCTTTCTTTCTTTCTTTCTTTCTTTCTTTCTTTCTTTCTTTCTTTCTTATTATATTCCCCATCTCGTTTCCCTTTTCTTTCTATCTTTCTTTCTTTCTTTCTTATTATATTCACTATTTCATTTCCAATTTCTTTCTTTATTTCTTATTATATTCACCATCAAAATTTCCCCTTCTTTCTTTCTTTCTTTCTTTCTCGCTTCTCGTTTTCTTTGCTTCTCTCTTTCTCATTTCACTTTGTTTTGCACTCATCCTCTCATCACTTCTTTTTCTTTCTTCGTCCACCTCTGTTTTTCCTTCTCTTCCTCTGAATCTCTTCTTTTGTTTCCTTTCTTTTCTCCTCTTTATTTTTCTTTTCCCTTTCTCTTCTTCACTTCTTTCCTCCATTGGTCTTTCCCTAATTTTGGCTCACTTCGATTTATGTTTTTTTTTCTTTCTCTTTCTCTCTCTCTCTCCCCCGTTTTTGTTTTTATTATCGTACCTCGACTTTATATCTCATTCTCTTTTCTCTTTTCCTACTTTTCATTTTTTCTTTCGTTCCCCACTTTTCTATTTCCATCTTTCTATCTTCATCACTCTCTCTCTACCAATGCTTCTATCTCACATACGCAATATGTCGGCTATACCCAGATTCTACAAATCAGAGAAAAATATTAGATTCAGCGTTCAATTGCTAGTCGATTAAATTCTGATCTGACATGAAGCCGGAGAAAACTGCATTTATAACACAGAAATGGCGGAGGGAAACGCGAATTCACCGAAACTTATTGACCAGATTTCCGGCTTGTCTATAGTGCAAGACTATAAAATGTGTCAATATAAATCAATTAATTGATCAGTATTTAAATACACGTATAATTTTCATATAAGAACATTATTTAAAGTGATAATAAGAAGACGGGGACTTTAATTATCCATTTCGTTTATAATTTTTATTTTGTGAACACCGAAAAACTTCTCTTTATACGGCTTATCTCTATCTATAAAAGGCAGCATGTGTGTGTGTGTGTGTGTGTATGTGTGTGTGTGTGTGTCTGTGTGCGTAACGAATGCACGGCCGCAATTTCCGACGGATTTGCACCAAAATTGAGATGCACATACTCCAAGTTAGTGTGAAGGCCAAGACCGACTTTGCATTTCTCACCTCCCATCCATATTGGAAATAATCGATTTTTTCATGCTTCTACGGCAGTTTTCATGTAGTTTGCGGTCATTTTCTACTGGCCAGAGTGAGAGCCTATAGCTGGCTGCCACGAATAGGCAGGAAGATTCTATTGGCCAGCGTGAGAGCCAACAGCTGGCTGAGAGGAATGTTAACTAGCATGCTAGCATGCAAAAAAAAATCGATAGCTGCATTCATCACAAGTGGGAAAAATTTAAATCTGCATGACACTTTACTCCAATTGGCTCATTCGCTTGCTTAAACTCAACGTTGATTCTGATTCCGCAGAACTGGGTTGGGTGTGAAAAAGTATTTGTTGTTAACATTCTTTTTTCATTCGGTTTTTCCAGTTACGAGTCCTTTTATAAAGCTGATCGTTTTGTGTTCATTTTGTTTAGTTCATTTTTCGTAACAGATTTAATGTTTAGTATAGAGCTTAGAAAAATATTCGCAGTGTGAGATAGGCAAGAAGTAAGGCATGTAGCAACATCAGCACGGCAATGGGCACTCCTTTAAAGGCAAGGAAGGGCAAAAATATTTTAAGTCAAGTGATAGCGACTGCTGTATGAGTCGTACGATTTTTGAATCAAGCACGGGCAATGCCGGGCCATGCTGCTAATATATATATATATATATATATATATATATATATATATATATATATATATATATATAAATGAAAAGTATTTAAATATGAATATTAATGAATATATTCTTTAAGAATGGACATGGGCGCAGTTGTTTTATTTTATTTGAATAAAGTTTCCTGTCTTCTGATTTTCATTATGGTGCTCTGTAGTCTACATTGAGCTCTCCCTGGACTTATATCATCCTCTAAATTATTCATTCTAGTCACAAACTGTTAAAACGTATATATATATATATATATATATATATATATATATATATATATAGATAGATAGATAGATAGATAGATAGATAGATAATAGTGAAACACCCTCAATATCAGTGATAGACCTAACATAATAAGTTGTATGGATATGAGTTTGTGACCATATATTTCCTGTTTTTTGCGACCATCAGACACACCTGAATTTGTCTGATGATCTAAAAGGGTCACAATCTCATATGGCTTATATATATATATATATATATATATATATATATATATATATATATATATGAACAGTTTTAAATACGAATAAATTATTAGATACAATAGACATGGTCGTTTTTATTTTATTTTATTGATCATCAGTCTCATGGATAAATTACTGGCTATATAAACAATAATGAACATAATTTAACAACAGACATGGTATTGTTGTTTTATTTTATTTGAATATTATGTGAGTAATGAGAAAATGTTTTTTATAATAATAAGAGGCGTATTCGCCTGTCATTCGAAACGAACTGCATCCATGTTATCGGAATAAGAAATAAAAAAAAGCAAGAATCAAAAATTAACAAATTATATGAATATAAATATTCTAAAAACAAAAAACAAGACATTAAAATTTAATTTTCCTAATCACACGAGGCAGTTCGGCGCCAAACAACGTGAGCAAGCACCATTGTATCATAATATTTAAAAACAAAAAATATAACGCACACGGACCCCAAGCGCATATATATATATATATATATATATATTGAAGGATTCTAATATTGAAATAGGTGTAAATGCGTCTTTAAATTAATTTTCTAAAAAAAGCTTATTTAAATATATTTGAAATTTTAAGCCAAGTACTACCTACCTAGGTTTCACCACATGGGATCACCAGGGTGAATGTCAGTTCACCCTGAGGATCTCATGGGGTGAAACCTAAATAAATAGTATCTGGCTCATTAGGATTTATTTATTTACTCTTGATCTACTCTAGTGTATTGAGCACTCTTCGTTTTAACTTATTACTCACTGTTTTTTTTTTCTTTGTACCAGAAATGTAAGGTACTGGATGATTTCTTTCGGCCTGTTAGGAGGTTTCTGGTTCTTTCTTTTTTTTCCATTTATCCGCGGATGCCAATTTGTTTGAAAATTGTGCTATCCAGGTTTTTTTTCACTCACCAAGTCTAAACAGATTTACCTTATATATATATATATATATATATATATATATATATATATATATATATATATATATATATATTAAAGGCTCAAGCACTCTGATATTCCATGGTTATAATTTATTACATTGAAATCGTAATCACGATCAGAATCATCAGACCTACAAATTCAAAAAGAAGTGAATTTGTAGGTCTGATGAATTGATCGTGATTACGATTCCAATGTAACAAATTATAACCATGGAATAAAATATTTGAGCCTTTTATATTATATTCTTACTCTGTCGTAGACATTGCGTTCTACCTGGATTCTATCCTCTTGGGAATTTTATATATATATATATATATATATATATATATATATATATATATATATATATATATTGACAAGTAATATTATCTATCTATCTATCTATCTATCTATCTATCTATCTATCTATCTAGAGAGTTTCGAAGGGGAATGGCAGGGGTTTTAGACTGTAAAGTATGCCATATTTATGGATAAAAACTCTCAGCATCAAGGATGTTTCATGCATGAGTGCTATCTTCATGCCTTCTCTCCTATATATATATATATATATATATATATATATATATATATATATATATATATATATATATATATAACAAATGTTATATTTCTTAAAAAAAAACAGGAGACCGCGGTATTTCTGTATGATGACATTTTTACAGCAAGCTCGTCAGTTTCGATAATTGTTTCAATTTCATCGGAAAATGATTTTCTTATATATAAATATATATATATATATATATATATATATATATATATATATATATAAAGCACACTATTTACATTATTCGGACTATTGTTCTCATCTTCGTCGCCATATTTATTACAACTTATCGGCCGTTGTACGCTTCGGCCTTCTTCAGTTAGTTGGAATGTCGAACTGAACCCTTTATGTCGCTCACTGGGGTAGACTCTTCTAGTTCCACGTGCCATGGATGTCAGTTATCACATATCTCCTGCTAATTCCCCTGTCCATGTTCACCACTGCCTTAACCGAGAATTGAACAGACACTATTTAGGCTCTGTCACTGGATCGAACCAACGCCTTTATCCACTGTGCCACGTGTCCTCGAGGACGGTAAAGTAGTTTGAAACAAGTTTATTTGTAGAATGAAAGCTAAGAATCTTCTGAATGGAAATGGCTAGTCTACCTTGAAAATCGGCGTTTGGAAGCTAGGCTTGAACACTGATCGGCCTATTCAAATCAGTTTGCCATATCCCATCAGCCTTTTTCTCTCGATCTCCTTGTGTCAAACGCACACATCGAGACAAACACACACACACACGTGTGTGTGTGTGTGTGTGTGTTAGTAATAACAGACTTCTGTTTTATTTTCTCTCCTGCTGTCTGTAATATTTAGGGTTGAATATTCAACATTTATAAATCAATATTTTCTCAACTCATCAATTTTTAAACGTACTAGAAAATAACGATTGCTGAAGCGAATTCTTACTCACAGAGCGGAAAACATTGGCTACCTGTCGCCGTGAACCGCTTCTGCTTGACTTTATTGGCCAGGGTAGTGAGTTCCATTCGCACTGGTTGTCTCTCTTGTGTATCCTCCTGTCGGAATAATGTAAGTAGATTCCTCTCGCAAGAACATAAACATCAGATATGACGCTTGATACAGTGTGATGGTTAACAAGTTAATCTCATAGACAATATGCCATGTGGAATAAGTACTATTGTCAGTGGATACCAACAAGAGATGTTCTATCTTCCACGGTTAGAATTTGTAGCAGACAAATATCTCAAGGCTAGAATTTGAAGAATGGACGTTTCCATGCATGAGTTTGAATCAGTAGATTAATGTCTTATAAGCTGAAGGTTGATCTGAAATTTTCTCTGTATAATGTCAAATATATTCTGTTAATGGAGATGAGTTAAGTGCATGGACAAAGAGATTATGTTTAAAATATATGAATATTGTTTTGCTCCAAGTCGGAGACCATGTACATTCATACTATTTTTAATTCAGAGTCGTCCGTTTCCTAGGTGGTGGGTGGGTGTAACAATCTGCTCTGCTATGTAACCCATAGCTGGGGGTGCGCAGAAGAGATGAATTCATACTTTTTTTCAGTGTTATTTGCGCGTAAGTGAAAGTGACGAACTCGATTGGTATTCATACTTAGTTTTCGGGTTTCTCATCCTGAGGGATTATTCTTTCCACCACCCACATATCCTTTGTCCATAATTCTCCCGTCCTGGGTAAGACGATAAACTACGTCCAGCAGCAAGGCCCCTGATCAGGAGCTTTTGAGAAGCGTGGAACCACCTCTTAATTGCTGGTGTTTCCAGGTCCAGCCTGACCCGGGGTGGTAGCACCTGTTAGGGTCCCAGCTATTGGCAAATAGTTAACTATTACCAGAAATACTTTTTCGAAAAAAAATATTACTAGCAATACAATTTTGAGGGAAAATATTACCAGAAACAGATTTTCGACAAAACAATATATTACCAGCAATAAAAAAAATTGTCGGCATTAAATAACCCATTAAGTTTGATATGTCGTAAAACAAAATAAACCAAACCAAGCCAAACCATTATTCTAATTGAAAGTAAAAAGGAGACGTTGTTGAATCCTGAATTCTCTTCATCAGAGCTGGTTACGGGGCCGCAGTTCATCTGCCATTATAACAAGTATGAAACCTTTGGCCACTTGAATGTTTGTTATCAAGGTAACAAAAGTCTCCCATGTACCCCAGTTTTGAAATCAGAATGATCCTCATAGCAGACAGGTAAACAGAGTTCGTTAGCATGTGTTGGCAGTCAATTAATAAATAATACTCTGTAAATTAAATAGGTTGGTGCAAAAATAATGACGTGATAATGTCGTTTTTTGACGTATTTTTTAACGTCAAAAACGACATTATTACATCATTATTTTTGCACCAACCTAATATTAGGTTGGTGCATAATTATCAGGCGTTTTTGTAGGCGATTTATTTTTTAATAAAAATTACTGTTTTCTTTACTTTTTCTTAATAAAACTATTATTTTACTTTCAGGTTATAAAAATGCGTGTCGATAATCATACGCACCGGAATAATCATTTAAAAATGTTATTGTTGAATTGTTATGTTTCTTTTTTCATAATAAATATTGTTTCAAAAACGCCTGATAATTATGCACCAAACTAAGATGACGATTGGATCTGCGTTTGAATTTTTGAAGATCGGAGTTGGCAGGGAAGCAATAAACCGGAAGTGAGTTCCACAGACGAGGACGACGGGAAACTATGAGAACTACGAGAAAGAAACTATTGGAATGAAAATTATGGTTCTACCTATCTATTCTAATAATGAAACTGTGAGACCTAATTGTCAATCTAGTTATACGCTTAAATTTATATATGTATTGCCATAAAAATATTTATAAAAAATGTACAGGGAAGTCACTTCACGGCGGTGAGTAAGTGACTAAACATCGAGCTGCCATGCCAGGACTAATTATATTACAAACCCTTCGTTGGATTTTGTCGATAAATATGGCAGCAGCATAGAATGCAAAAACGAATGTTTAATTTATGAACGTGCAAGATGGATTCTAACGAGAAATACTGCAACCAACAGTTCTAGCAATTGGTTCCATATACTAATTTAATATCATATTATTTGAATTGTATACAGTTTATATTATCCCGAAATCTCTTTATTAACATCGTTTCTTTTTTTCCATTTTATTTTCTCATCGATTCTTTACTAGCTGCTTTTTAACGGGTATATTTACCCTTTCTATCTTTAAGCTTTCCTAACCCATTTGGGGTGTGCGCCATTGCCCCAATACACAGACAGAAAATGTTTCCATGGCAGAGAATCCTAAATATCAAGTGTCTTTCTTTGAAAATCGGCATTTATCATCTTTAACGACTGTAATTATAAAACGACTGCATCGAAACGGTAATTCCTACCCCTTATCTAAATGCTAATATCCTACACAGCAACACACATTCAAAATAATTAAATCAAAACCATTCCGATGTCATCTTTTTTCCTTCATAACTGTACGCCGATTCATTCAACCGATTGACTCAAATATTATCCTCATATTCGTTATGAAACTGACAACGTTTTTAGTTGCCATATTCTTCGTCTTCATTTGCCTCTTGTATTCGCTAACGTCTCGTGATAGGTTTAAATCTCGAAAATGATTTCCCTGTTAAATTTCTGGGTCAGGCAGTGAAATCCACTTAATCTGATTTAGTGACAAGAGAGAAACAGCATCACAAGGACAAATTCATGAAAGTAATTAACTGATATGAGTTATGTCCCCTTGCATGCGCAGCGGAATACTGAAAAGGATTTATTTTAGTGCAAAATTATATTTATTGTTATGACTTGCATTTCTCTATTATATTCATTACTATATCCTTTATATACTAAAATCTTAATACATTGGACGGAAAAGAATAAATGAAAGAAAGGAATGACAACCATGAATTTTTTCTCAAAGAGCTATTTTAGATCGATATGTCATATAAGAGATTATATATATATATATATATATATATATATATATATATATATATATATATATATATATTAAAAAAAAGAACAGTAAGATATATAATCCGGTGTTCTTATAGATATTTTATTTTTACAAAATAGTGCTCAATGTAAATTTACAGAGCATTAATATTATAAATTAATTGATTTAAAATATGTTTTTTTTCGCTACACAGTTCTAACCATTTCCATTTTTGAAACATGGTTAGAACTGTGTAGCGAAAAAACATATTTTAAATCAATTAATTTATAATATATATATATATATATATATATATATATATATATATACAACACATATTGTTAAATATAACAGACAACGAATGTCTATTATGTTTGATCATGAGCCGTTCGAAGTATAGCCGTTCGTACAGTGGCTTTAGTTTTGGGAAAAAATAGACAAAAACTGTCCAACGTTTGGATATTTTTTTTTATTATGCTGTTCCTCGATCTAAGCTTTCGGCTCACATGAGCCTTCATCAGAGTGGTTACATGGACATTACAACAGCAATGTTCACCATGAAATGTGACATGCTGTTATGTTGACACAGAAGTTTGATATGCGACGATAATGGTGAGCATCTCTGTTGAAATGTCCATATAACCCCTCTGATGATGGCTCATGAACGTTCTGTCATCCACTTGCTTAAGCCCACCAGGTATGTCACGCGTTGTTTTCTTTTGTTTCTTTTCCCCTCTATTAAACCCGTGAGTATCAGATTCTCCAGGCCTTCCTTCCTCATTATGTGTCCCCAAAACTTCAGCTTTCTCTTCCTGATATTAAGTATAAGCCTCCTCCTTGTTTGCAACCTCTCTAAGACCTCATCGTTGTTCACACGCTCGATCTATGATATCCTTAGCATCCTTCTGTAGAACCACATCTCCGTCGCCTCGAGTCTCTTCTTCATCTTTGAGGAAATCGTCCAACATTCGCTGCCGTAAAGAAGGACAGATGTCACGTGACAGCTCAGTATTCTTTTCTTTGTTACCAAAGAAAATGTTTGAGAGAAATCTCTTTCTTTTTCTTTTTATGTGCCATGTCCTTTCAGGACGTAGGCGATCATGGCTCTCCACCTCCTTCTATCCCTTGCAGCTCTCAACAAGTTCCTTCCCTATGTCACCTCCCCCAGACCATGTTCTGTCATCCACTTGCTTAAGGCTGCTTGGTATGTCATGCGTTGTTTTCCCTTGTCTCCCTTTCCGTCTATTCGACCCGTGAGTATCAGATTCTCCAGGCCCTCCTTCCTCATTATGTGTCCCAGAACCTTCAGCTGATGTTAACTTCATTTGCAGTCATGATTATCTTTATAGTTTTGCAGCAAATACAAAAGTAGATAAAGGAAGAAAAAGGACGTGAACATCTACATTGCAGCCTGTGAATAAATGCAACGAATATAATATTAATAATTCATAAACGTTGATTATTTAATTCTGTCATATATCAGCAATCTTATGCCATATATTAAATTCAGAGGTGCACCTCGAGGGTAGAAAAGTACATTTTGGCATCCTCACTGAAGAACTGATGTTAACCTACCATCTATCTTGGTGTGAGAATGCAAAGGTCAGAAAATAAACACTGCGTCTATCTGGAGCCTATCCAGTGATCTTGAGAACCGGTTCCGCGGCCTTGATGTAGTCTTGTAATTACTCGGAGATATCCTTACTGAGCAAAAATGAACAGAAACTTTCATGTGGGGTTACGCAGTCGTCCATAAAATGCCATTGAGTGAGTTCTTTGTGGCTGTCGCTATTTACATTCGCAAATTATTTTTTTTTAAAAGTTTTTCACCCCAAGCAAGGCGTGAGTGCCACTAGCCCGCAAGAGGTTACAGAGAGTGGATGCAAGATTTAAGAGGGGTGATAAAGGAAAGGATGAAGAAAAGGACGGAGAAATAGATCAAGGCATCTGAAGATGTCGATTGACATTGCATTAGAATAGTGGGAGATTATAGCTATCAGGGAAGCAAGTAAGAGGAAGGGAGTTCCACAGATGGGAAGTGCGGGGCATGAAGCTATTGGAGTAGAAGAGACGTCTACATTTAACTGTTTCGACAGTGAAAGAGTAGGACTGAGGTCCCGGCCTAGGAGCACGCTCAAATTCATGCAGTTTGGGAACAAACAAAAATAGTTCATCGGAGCAGTTACAGTGAAAGTAATTGTAGAAAAGGCAAAGGAGAGCGACAGCACTTCTGTAAGAAAATAACTGTAGACGAGATGCCAGATCAGGGCCTATCACACTGCATATCTGTCTCTGGATTTTGTCGAACACCGAGTGCTCAAGACCATATATGGCAGCAGTATTCTATGCAAGGGAATAAATAGGAAAGGAGATTATGTTGAAAATATTTATGGGACCTGCTTTCAGAAAACTCGCCGATTAACCAAATATCATTTTCTTAACACATTATTTGTTTTTTTTTCTTTATCAAATGGTGGACATTTCTCACGAACTTATTTTTCTCGTATTCCGCCTTTAATCTAAATTAATAAAATAAAATAAAACAAACAAAAACATTTACATGTCTTTTTTTCTGTTTACACGCCACCTCAGCTGTGGATGTAAAGGTGGTGTAATCGATAACGGCCCTGGATGAGAAATCGGAGAGCCGTGTTCGAATTCCAAAATGGGAAATGTGTGAATCTATCTCTTCCTCCTCCTACAGCTATGGGTTAAATAGTAGGATTTGTTTTAAGAAAAAAATTCTTATTCTCAAAAAATTTAAAGACATTATTCACCCGTAAAAATGAAACATTGTTACAATCTAAAAGATATATTTTGTCCTTCACTCACACACAAAGTGTTGAAAAACCGTAAAAAACAAAACAAAACAAAAAATCCCAATCATTCAACCCACTGCTGCTTATTTGATTTCTCCTTCATTTTGGACCTTTGTTTTTTCTTATTTATTTAATCTTCATTTCATTCTTATTTTTTTTCATTCCTATTTTTTTCCTTCACAGCCTAAAAAATAACACCATTCTTTATTTTAGATTTCATTTTTACGTATTTTTTTTTAAACTTCCCTTCTTTTTGTACCATGTTATCATTTCTTTATTTCTTTCTTCCTCGTCCATTATATACATGACACTTTCTTTCGTTCTTTTCCGTTCATCATATACACCTTTTCTTTCTTTCTTCCATAATATACACAACCCTTTCTTTCTTTCTTTCTTTCTTTCTTTCTTTCTTTCTTTTCAACACTTCATTTAAACACTGCTTTCTTTATTTCTTTCTTCCTCGTCCATTATATACATGACACTTTTTCATTTTTTCCGTTCATCCCATATACCTTTTCTTTCTTTCTCTTCTTTCTTTCTTTCCTTCTTTCTTTCTTTCTTTCTTTCTTTCTTTTTTTTTCTTTCTTTCTTTCTTTCTTTCTTTTCTTAATATACGTGACCCGTTCTTACTTTCTTTCTTTTCAACTCGTCATTTATACAATGCTTTCGTTATTTTTTCTTTCTTTCTTTTCAACACTTCATTTAAACAATGCTTTCTTTGTTTCTTTTTCGTTCATCATATACACCTTTTCATTCTTTCTTCCTTTCTTTTTAGCTCCTCACTTGAACAATGCTTTCTTTCTTTCTTTCTTTCTTTCTTTTCAACTTCTCATTTAAACAATGCTTTCTTTATTTACTTCTTTTTCGTTCATCATATACATTGCCCTTTCTTTCGTTCTTTTCCGTTCATCATATCTTTTCATCTTTTCCGTTCATCATATCGTTCATCTTTTCTTTCTTTCTTTCTTTCTTTCTTTCTTTCTTTCTTTCTCGTTCATTATATATACAACCCTTTTTCTTTATTTCTCTTTTTATTTCTTTTTAACTCATCATTTACACAATTCTTTCTTTCTTTTTTTCTTTCTTTCTTTCTTTTTTTCTTTCTTTCATATTTTTTAAAGTATTATTTATCTTCTTTTCACCTTCCTCCTTGTTTTTCTTATAATCTGCCTCACCAATTCATCTCTCCTTTTTTTCTCTAACTCACAGCTTCGTCTCTTGTGGCCTTCCATCACTATAATAAAATTCTGTTTGGGTCATAAAAACGCAATAATTCTAGTATTCAAAACAATATAACCAATAATTAGACTGCTATAAACAGATCGTTGCGTAGATGCATACAAATGCTGGTGGATTGCAGTGTCTGCGTGAAAATATGCAAAATGCGTAGTTGAATGTGAATATGAAAGACACGTGTACACTTCACAATAAATTCAATCGGGCTCAAACAAACTGATGCAGGCAAAATAGTGTTTTAAATTTGTATTTTGGGCTCTGTGATTAGGAAAATCAGTCATGCGCTAGTCAATGTACATGCAATATACTGAACAATACAGTATATTTCCTGTCGGAATATCTGTGATGGGGAATGATCATTATATATATATATATATATATATATATATATATATATATATATATATATATATATATATATATATATATATATATCTTTTAAGACATTTTATGTTTAACATTCTTTTTTTATATAATTGTCGGACTTAGTCCATTTCATAATATATATATATATATATATATATATATATATATATATATATATATATATATATATATATATATATATATATATATATATATATATATATATATATATATATATATATATATATATATATGTAAGTATATATATATATAATGATTTGATGCCACTCTATATAATGATTTGATGCCACAGAATGCATAAATTGACTTAAAAAGACATAATTTAGTGTTCATTTTTTTTTTTTTTTAAATCAACCTAGGTGCCTTTTGTTCAATAATTCGTTAGGTACCAAATTGAGTACGCCTAAAAAATAAATTCACGATTAGAATATATATGGGTAAATTTAAGAAAAGATATGAAAACACTAACGTGAATATAAAACAAGAAAATATAATTACTGACGAACGTCCAACGAACTGGAGACACCGTAGAAAATTATCCTGCTTACACAACGACGGCTGCTGTCATTTCAGACAGACAGCTTCCAACACTTGCAAATGGTGTTTAGACCGAGCCATATGCAAAATGTATATATATATATATATAAATGTAAATTTCAGTTTAAAATATTTCTAATAATGATTTTACTCGATAAATTTTTTCCAGCAGTATTTATTACCTCCTTTTACATACGAATATGCAAATTAGAGATAATTTGAATTCAAATTTTGAAACGTTTTTAACGGTTTAAATTCAATGAGGCTTTTAAAATGTTCTACCGGGCAACACCGACTCACCCTAATAGTTCACACTGTAAAGGAAGTGTTCTCCTTGAGACAGATGCTTAAAATCAAACATTTTTGTCTTTCCGCTGTTTTTTCGATAACGGAACTGACAATCAATTTAATCAGACAAAATGGCGCTAACAACAAATCGTAATTAAACTACCCACTCTCCAAAATCAGGGATCCACCCCACCAAGATTTTCCCCGACTTGTCCCACACACCTTCTAGAAAAGAAAGAAGACGGCTTTTGTGTCCGGCCGAATTTTAGCAAAAGAGACCTCTTGTTCCAAAAACTCCTTCAAATATGCCTTTGCAGTTTTGCTTCCTTTTAAAGTTATTGACAACATTAAAAAAAAGGAAATATTTTATTACTTCTCAAAATTATCTTAAAATTCTTGAAATTATTTGATTCTTTAAAATTATTATTTAAAACCCATCCTAAAAACCTTTCAGATTACTTTTAAAATCCGTATGTTTTTAGCATTTAAAAATCTTTTTTCCGACATTAAATTTCATTTAAAATAATTCTATGTTAGTTTGCTACATTTTCACTAATTTTTTATCTTTCATTGTCTTTAATAGAGTTCTACTTTCTTTCCGTCTGTAATATTAAGTTTTTATTCTAAGTTATTTTTCCCTCCATTTTTAGTTGTTACCGAAATTCTGCATCTGCATATTGATTATCTATACACCATTTCCTCCAAGATAATTCTGCTGCCTTCTTTTGCAAACTTTTTGATTTAAAGTTGTCTCTTAAAATTTTCTCAGAACTGTTTTTCTTTTTTCATTGTCTGCGTTTTTCGTCATGTGTTCTTTGTGATTAATCTTTCCCCAGAAATATTCTTTGTCTCATTCCCCTCGTCGAAGACGAGAGCTTAGTGGGGATCACTTAGTTTTTATCTTTGTTTCGTTATCACTGATGTTCTCAATGTCTTGTTCATGCACCATTGTAGGCTTTATTGTAGGCAACCTGCTCTCTTTTTCCGTCGTTATTATTGTCGTCTGCATCATCGTTTTCTACATGCAACTTTCAAAGCTATATAATCCGTTCCAATGGAGTTGTGATATCCTCCTTAGCTATCCTGTTATCACTGAGATTTTCGCTACCTTCTTTCAATTTCTCTTTATACTTTCAGACAGTACATGACGAAGATATCACAGTCTTTTTTTTTCCGAACTTCTTCCGAACCTGGTTAGCAGTGTCATGGACGTTGATAACTGTCTTTACCTCTTATTCTGTGTCGCATTATCACCATTGACGGCGTGACAATCTCTTCCTTATTTCCATATTCACCTTATCGTATTCTATTACCCTCTTCAGTGATTTCGAGTCATGTATAAGCATTCTTCTTGCTTTCTTTAAAAAAATTCTTCTTAGCCTTCTTTTCGTATTCTCATTCGTGTTTGATTCTTACTCGTCTACTTTTTCTTTTCTTTCCTCAATCTTGTGGGATTACATCACGTGATTTGCCAGGGAACTCCTCTTAAATACCGTTAGGTGGGGCTGTAATGAACCGTTTACAAGGAAAGGGCACAAAACGTCGCTTTTTTTGTATCTTTGACTATGTTATGGTAATTTACCCACGCACGCATGAACTCTCCCAGCTATAAATAGAAGAAGGTACTGCCTTTTGGAGAGGGAAGTTCCCAGCAGTCAGTTCTGACAGTCGGGCCGAGCATTTTTGCTGTAACACTCTCGTTTGCATATGTTTGCATTACTGTTTTTTCTGTTAATATATTTGTTTAACTCAATTCCTCTATTTGTGTCTTTATTTCTGGCACTAACCAGGCCACAACAGACTACAGTATGGTGTTGCGACAAGACGTGTCTCTTTTCCCCTCCATGAAGACTTCCCGATTCTCGTCCAAACCGGTTTTTATTCGCAACATGATGCATCATATGAAACATCTCCACAAGAACCTATTGCTTACATATATATTTCTCCCGTTTTCAGAGCTATATGTTGCACATAATTCCACACACACACACACACACACACACACACACACACACACACACACACATATATATATATATATATATATATATATATATATATATATATATATTCCCATCGTCTCGTACAGATCGCAATTTTCTTGTGGGATTAAGTCACGTTATTTGCCAGAGAGCCTCTCTTAATGGCCGCTAGGTGGTGTTGCATGAAACCGTTTACAAGGAAAGGACACAAAACGTCAGTCGCTTTTGTGTATCTTTGACTATAAGATGCTGTTGCGACAAGACGTGTCTCTTTTCCCCTTCCGTGAATACTTTCCGATTCTTGTACAAACCGGCTTTTATTCGCAACGTAATACATCATATGAAACATCTCCACATTTGCACAACGCATTGAAAGTTCTTGGTAGATCTTAGTGCCTTTATGAAAGTGACTGAAGCCAAGCTGCCAGATTAGTACTGATAATATTGCTGATTATTCTTTGGATTTTATCAAGGAACTCAAAGTGGCACCGAAAAGATATACATGTTAAAGTCACTTATTTTTTTTTAAATATTGAATTATTCGACCATATGGCATTTTTATACCGTAACTATTACAAATTTGTTATTTTTCTTTTATTAATGGCACTGATAAATTGACCATTCTTAGCCATTATCATTTCTTTTTCATTCCATATGCCTTTGGATCATTGTCATTTTCATCTTGACCCTTCTCCTCTGCTTCTAGCCCTCATCATGCTCACTTTTTCAATCGCCTTTCTGTTTCTACTTCTTTTAATAGATTCCAGATGTCTTTTACTTGTCTTTCTAAATAATAATAATAATAATAATAATAATAATAATAATAATAAATATTACTTTGTGTGAAACTGCACATATCATCCGCAAAAATCTTCTCCATCTAAACGAAAAGTCCTAGCATAAATAATTCTCCTACAATAGTAATTTCTCCTACAGGAGGAGTAAAGGATAGCGGCTCGGATTGAGGAATAGGAGAGCCGAGTTCGAATTCCAGTAGAATCCATTAATATCCTTATAATAAGGCTAATACCCTTGGGAAAGGTATGAATTCTCTTCTTCTCCCGGAAGACCGGGTTCTATAGCCTTGGATGGCAACTTCTACCGCAGAAAGAAAACAATCTGCCTCATCAGTTATCGAAAGATAAATGATCGTCTAAGCATGGTACATAACTGAATGACAGTGGTTTGTTTACTCATAGACGCGATTAATTAAAATTAATCTCTTGCAAGATGATATCACAAAACAACAACAATAATAATAATAATAATAATAATAATAATATTCAGAAAGAATTAATCATCTTGTATCTGCGGCATGATAGAGTGGGTCAATATATGCCAGTTTTACGGGAAGTAAATTGTTAGAAACTGGTATTAACATCACCCAGACCCGGTTACAGAGATAGGACCTGTAACAATTTTACTGAACTGTACAATACACACATACAGAACAATCTAATCTAATCTAATTGCCCAGACATCGTGATCAAAGACCACAAGAACACAATGTGCTTTCTTATTGACATGGCAGTCATTGCAGATTGTAATGTGCTCTTGAAGATTTTCAAAACTATCAAAATACAAACATCTTCAACTCGAAATCTCAAAAATGTGGCATATGAGGACATTAGTAATTAGAGTTGTAGTTGGAGCCCTCGGGTTGATTGAAAAAGGTTCCGATAGATTCATTGAAGGGATTACTGGTAGCGCATGCCTTTAAGGGATAAAAAAAATACATTGTACTCACAAGTACAACTCACACATTAGGAAGA